TATGGGAGAGGCCCAAGGTCAGCCGCTAGGGATTCAGGAAATAAAACATGCACAAACCTTGCCATCAAGGCAACAATGAAGTGGAGGCAACAGAAAAGAACATCAGGAACAGTAACACATGAAAATATGGGACAATGGAGGGAAGTATGGGGTGTTATGGGAATGCCCTCAAAGAGCATCTACTCCAAACAGGGTCCGGTTGAAAATAATGAGCCACGTGAGAGTGATCCCAGTAAAGGAAACAGCATTTGTTGAGGGAAGAAGGGAGGACATGAACAGGCAACACTAGGGCCAGACAGGACAAGCCCAGTGGGGTAGTAGATATTTGTTGTTGTTTTGGTGATTCATGTCAGAACTCCCTTCCTGATTCTGGAGGAGCCCTCCTTTTGCAAGAAGTGGTAGGAGTTAGACTCCTATCTCCCACTCCCAAAGTTGAAAGCAGAAGTTTCCTCTCCCCAGGGGCAGGTGCACTTTCTCACACTCCCCAATCAGCTGATTTCAGGGATTTCTGAAGGCTCAGTATGACCAAAAAACGTTCAGCCACATCTAGAGTCTCGGGAGTGACAAAAATGAAAAATCCAGCAGAGAGGGCTGCGGTAAGGTCCTAACTAGGTGATTCTCGGGTATGGCCTTAGCTCCAAAGCCTGATGCATTTCAGGGGCCAATTTGCAGGCTTTTTGTGGATGTGTGAACTATGCAACGTGCTTCCAATAAATTTTTCAGCTTATGATAGCAGGACTCAGTTTCCACTTCTTATAACCAAGAGTCCTGATGACAGAGGTGTTTACTGTCACCATCAGGGTACAAATGCCGAGGTCTTACAACAAGGCTGGGACAGGGAAGAAGAAAAGGAGATGCACCCAAGAGATAACAAGGAGGATGAACTGCCAGGTGGCAGCTGCAGATAAACAAGAGGGTAGGGTCAAGGACACCTTGCAGATGTGTAGTCTGGAAGCCAAAACGAGAGCAGTGATATATTCATGGGAAAGGCAAAAGGCAGATCACAGTTGTGAAGAGTAGGGAATGACGGGCTCCATCCAGACCTGCTGAGTTTGAGGTTCCTGTGTGACGTTCAAAGCATGGTGTTTACCAGGCAGCTGGCTGTACAGGTGGTTCTCAGAAAAGCCCCAGCTGGAGGTCTAGATAAGAAAGAAAACAGCTAGAAAAAGGAAAGGAGAGCAGAACACTGTAGTTAATGTTATAGGAGCCCAGGAAAGAGTTTAGGAGTGCAGCAACCCTGGTCTCCTAGCACAGCGCTGAGAAAGAAAGAAGGAAAGAAAGGAAGAAAGAGAAGGAAAGGGAGGGGAAGGAAAAGAAAAGAAAAGAAAAGAAAAGAAGAGAAGAGAAGAGAAGAGAAGAGAAGAGAAAAGAAAAGAAAAGAAAGAAAAGAAAAAAGTCTAGTCTGATCAGAACAGGAAAAAATATGAATGCTGGGTCACTGGTGATTTTTAGCACCTGGGAAGTTCCTGGTGATTTTGGAGATTTCCGTGGAATGGTTGAGAAAGACATATTTTGGTGGGATGAGGGGTGACAAGGATTGAGAAACTAGGACCCGTGGGGGAAAAGAATCTTTTTAAAAGATTCATTTAAAGGAGGAATAAATGCCTAAAATTGGACAAAGTGTTGAGGATACTTTAAAGAACAGAGGTCCGTCGTTCATCTTCTAAAGAGGCAACGGTCACCTCTTATCACTTGCCCCGAGGGACCGGACGCAAGGGAGAGGACACAGGGTCCTGCCCTCAAGAGCCTGTGGTCTGGAGGAGACGCTGACCGGCACCAAGTAGCAGAAGAATGGGCGCTCTGAGAGAGGTCCATCGGGGATTCTAATTCAGGCTGGAGGTTCAGAAAAAGCCCCTCTGAGGAACCGAACAGGGGGACAGGTGGGGAGAAGGCTATTTCGGGCAGGAGGACCAGCAAAGCGCCAATACCCTGAAGTAGGGAGCTGAGCATATCTCCATGCAGAAAGCAGGGAAGCAGGAAAGCCCTGGGGCCCATGGGTGGGCGAGGAGCGCACAGTGGAAGGAGCGGCCATCTGTGGTGGGGAGGACCCCTGCTCTACAGACACCGGGAGGGGGTGCATGTGGGCGACGGGGAGTCTGTCACCCCGGGAGCAGGAAGGGGAGGGCGCTGTGTACTGGCTACTGTTTTCTTGGTGAAATGGCAGGCCTGGTGAGGAGGCAGGAGAGAATCTGGCAGGGGGAATGTTCTTATGGGCCGTGGAGGAGGAGCTCACTCACAGCTCTTTCGGCGTAAGGCAACAGCAACGATGGCCTCCTCACTTCCGGGTACCAACGCTGCAAGAACAGGGGCAAAGGAGCCCGTGGTCCCTTGATGCTTAGCAGTAGAAAGGCCCTCAGAGATCTTAGTTGTCATTCATCTTTTTTTTTTTTTCTACTTCATAACTAAGTAATTTACTCAACAGTTTGCAACTAAATGTGAAGAATATGGCCAACGACCTATCTCCTCAGGAAGCCGGAAGCCGCCAGCCACTGGAAACTGGTGATAGCCTCCTTCCTGTGACATTCCCCTTTTTACCACAGTGGGTTTCTTACTTCATTTCTCTTGCTTTCTTATTCACATCAGGCCTGGAATCTTAAATTCATACAGCTTGTAATGAAGTGAGGCCTGGATGATTTCTCTCTGTTTAATACTCAAGCACAATCACCTACTCATTTGCAAGGGGGCAAAATTAGATCAGTTCTTTAGGAGGTGGCTCTAGACTGAGGATGGAGGTTCAGCCCTCCTGGCACAGAGTCAAGTACGTTCTAAGCTATGATGGCTTAACAATATCCCCAGTCATTGGCTTCCACGTTCACTCACATACACAAATATGTTGGCCTCTGAGGACTTCTGAATCGACTTGAAATTTCTTTCAGATTTAACCCCAAAGAAAGTATACCGGTCTTTCACTGAGGCTCAGGATAATGACTTAAAAGTATACCCCACTATAGCCAATCAGGCATGAAGTGTCCAATGGCAATTTTTCTTGCAATGTAGACACTGTAAAGAGCTTGTAGTGATCTCACACTGACTGGGATGCTTAAGTCCATCAGGAGGAAAAAAAAAAAACAGCTAAAGAGAAGGAAAAGGATAAATAAGGATAGAAAAGGTAACCAATAATGATTTACACAGTGTAGCTCTTTTCGTAGACATCTGAGAGGTAGTAAGTAGCCAAACAGAGGGTTCTAGATCACAGCTAACACCCAGCCTTGCAAGACCTGCTGAGGACATGGACACACACACATACGCATGCACGCACACACACCCTTCACTTCCTGGCAGAGGTTACAGAATGATTCTATTAATAAAGCATTTGTTCTATCTCCCTGAAGAGCTATTCCATATTCTACCCCTGTCATCAATTTAAAACTCTAGCATCTCATATCATTATTATTTGTTAAATTCTGTGCTTTCTGCAAAAGGCAGAAGCTAGATAAACTGCTGCAGATCTGCAGAGTGCAAATGATGGCACGTGGAGGAAAGGTGAGGACCAAGTAGAAGGGACCATCAAGAGACCTCTCCACATCCACAGAGCCGGGCAGGAGGGAACAATGTGGATATTCCTAGAAGAGTGTATCATACACCGGGGGACACTGTGTTTCCACCTTCTTCTCGCTCCTTCTTTCCCAGAAGAAAGGAAAAACACACTCAGGGGAAAAAAAAAACAAAACACAAACGATTTAAATGGTACTTGTAATCCATACAAAAGTTCACCAGGTTGGGTTCTCAGTCTGTGTCCTATTTGCGTCGGACAACTTTTGATTTACTCCTAAGTGTTGTTACAAAGACAGCAAAAGCATCCATCAGCACATAGCTCCAGAAGGACAGAGGCCACAGCAAGGACACGTTAATCCCCCAAACTCCCCATCAAGTTCAAAAACAATGCCCCTGGCTGTCATTTCCATTCACAACAGTCTCGTATTTTCTACTAAACAAACCTCTTTTACAGACTTCTCCCCCCATACGGCATAATAAGGTAAACGGCAGCCCACAGAGACTACATTATGAAACCCAGGGCTTTCCTTCGGGAGGGGAGGCGGTAAAAGACAGAAGACGGCAAGCTTCGAGGGATCTCGCTAACCCCTGCCTACCACGGGGAGAATGATGGGGGTGGGGGTGGGGGGTCCTTTCTGCTCCCCAGGCTCCCCGGGACTCCTGGGATTGACTCGAAACTCACCAGCCTCCCAAGAGGCTCCTTGGAAAGAACAGGAATTTCCATAACTCTGCACAGTCTCGGCTCCTAGTCTAATCCCCACTTCCACCCCCACTTACAAGAGGACTTTTGTAGACGCAGAGTTGCAGGAAACAAAGCCTACAAACACTCACACACAAATAAACTCCCTGAACTAACACCAGCGTATAATTGTGTTTGGGTTGGAGGCTTTCCAGCCCGGTCACCCGCTCTGTTAGGAGTAAGTGTAACCCTTTGCTTTGGCAAAGTTAGAAGCCGACAACCCGCCTCGGCTGCAAGGGGCCCAAGGCGCCCCTCGCATCTCGGCGCTCCCTGAAGCCCCCACGGGATGAGTTCACTGCTGAAAAGTCAGAGAGAGAACGAGAGAGAAGGAAAGCCCCAAACGCAAGCAACCTATTCCCCAAACGAAGCTCTTTCAGTTCTCTCTCTCTCTCAGCTTCTTCCCCCTTTGACCGGAAACACAGCGGGTTTCCAATTTCTGAAACCCTCCTGAGGGGCCTGGGCGCCTCCCGGGGCTCCTCCCGGGGCTCCTCCCGGGGCTCCTCCCGGGGCGTCGCTTTGGGCTGCCCTGGAGCGGGCAGCAGCGCTCCTCAGAGCTCGCCCCGCGTTCCAGGAGTCCGCACGGGAGCCCTTTCGCTTCCAGACTATCCAGGACGCAGCCTCTAGCGGGCTGGCTGCGCGCGGACTCGCACCCCGCGGGCCTCGCTCAGGGCTGCGGGTGCCAAGGCACAGGGGCTACGAACTCCGCTCTCCCCGAGCTGCCAGAGTCGCCGCCGCTCAGCCCCCCCCCCCCCCCGATGGGGCTTACCGTCCTTGGGCTCGTCCGCCTCGCACTGCATGGTGGCGGGGGCGCCGGCTGCAGGGGCGGGGGCCGCGGACCTGCGCTCCCACCAGCCCGAGTTCGCTCCGAGGCCCAGGCGCGCGCGCGACGCAAAATAAAAGGCAGGAAAGCCGCTAAAATCAAAACCTCCCCGGGGCGGAGGGGCCGGTTCTGGTGCAGGGATTTTTTTTTTTCTTTTTTTTTTTTTTTCAGGGGGAAAGTTCTGCAAGAGTGACGAATCGCGTCTCGGCTGGGCGGCGGGAGTCCGCCCCCGGGGCCGCGCGCCCCGGCCCGTCGCTGGGCGGAGGCGACCTGGCGCGGCTGGCGGGGCCCGGGCGCTCGCAGGTGGGGCGGAGGGGGCAGCACCAGCCGCTGTGCCCAGCGCGCGCCGCAGCGCCCGGACCCGAGAAACGCGCGCGCGTGAAGGAGATGCCTCTGGGTCTTCGGGCTAACATTCCCCGGAGTGCACTGAACTTTCCTTGCGCTGGGATCTTCTATCAAAAATAATGATGATGATAATAATAATAATAATAATAATGATTTTGAAGCTGCTCTGCTTTGTACGTTATTTTTGCTGGAGAGTAACGTGGATATTGGTCCGTGCGGCTGGAAGGACCAGTTTCAACAGGCAGCAGCGCCTTTTGAAGAAAGTGGGGGCGGCCCCCGCCCCTCACCTTCGCACGGGCAAAGCACCCAGGGCGGCTGACTCAGCACGACCCGGGCGGGCACACTTACTCCAACCCCACCCGGGGGCGGGAGCTGCGGGCGGGGAGCCCCCAGGGAGGTCCTCGCCCCCGAGGGCGCCCTTCCCTCCCTGCCCCAGGGGGAGGCCGGTATTCGGGTTTCTGAAATGCTGATTGGAATGCGGAGCCCGGGGACACACCGCAGTTCTGCCCTCGGGTCGGGTCCACTGGCTCTTATAACTGGCTGAGAGGTGGGCGTCTTGACTTTGCGAAACTTCAGTTTTAACTTCCGAGGAGCGAGGACCAGAGGTGACATTGCTGTACCTGACTTAATGGAGGTATTTTGCACAGCATCAGTTCTATCATCAATCTAAGCCAAAAGATCCTCCAATAATGCACCGAAAGGTCGATTTAGGAATTGTGGGAAACTCATGAAAATCCTTTTCATAAGTTTATTTTCCAGCTGCTTTCTTTTCTCTCATTTCCCATTTTTATATGGGCAAAAACAAAACAAAACAAAACAAGAGTAGACACTCCGGTATAAATTTAGTGAAAAGAATACGCAAAAGATTTGGATTTAAAGAGCCTGAATTAACATGTATCATCTTTATGACCCTGAGCAGATTATTTAATCTCTCTGGGAACCCCTTCCCTCGCATGTAATATGAGGATGAAAAACAGTATTTACTTCACAGATTTATGCGTGGTAGGAAATAAGGTAATACAAGCCAGAAGCAATTTGGAAACCATAAAATACTACACAGATTATTACAAACTACTGCACCACTAAAGTAAATTTTTGTAAAAGATGCTCAGGTTTATTTCAAAATTGGGTTCCATCAGGGAAAACGTTTTTATGCAAGTCACAAGCAGTAAAAGTGTTTATAAATATTAATATAAGGCCTAGATATTAAATCACTTCCTATTGCTGAGTGATTCTCACATGCCTATGACCCTGAACAGACTTTTATCTCAATTTCACTGAAAGGGTAGGATGATGAGAGGAAAATCTAGCCAATGGAGAGAAGGGGAGAAACATCTGGAAAATATCAGTGTTGTGGAGCCTCCTGAAAAGTGACCTCACCACCAAAAGGGTCTAATAAGAGTGTGCACCCTTCTGAAAGTCATGGTGAACTGTGTGGTCCCCTCTGCCACGCATTCTGGGCCAGCAGCTGCAAAGATGCATACGTACCTTCACTCAGTAACCTCAAACTTACAAGGGAGACATGATGATTTTGCTTGCAAAGAAATGCTCAGTCACCAGTAAGAAACGACCTTTCCGGTCCTGCCTAAGCAATCATTCTGGGAGACCTCCCCTCACACATCGTCTGGTCTTGCCCTCCCTCTCCACAGCCCAGATGCCCATGGATGGCCACCAGAAGCCCCCCAGGATGTCAGCCGTGCTGTGTGCCACACAGATAAGACAGCTTCCATTCAGCTATCACTGCACTAAAACTGCAACACCTTTTTCAAGGTGATGATTATGTAAATTCAGACGAGTCAAATCCCAAGCCCGACCCACTACAGGCAGGGCTCACTCTCTTCTTTCACCCTCTTCCTCAGAATTATTTATTAAATGTCCTTTCGCAAGTCCGATGACGTAGAAACTGCATAAGATGTGCTAAAATGCATGCCCCTAACGTTCTGCTTGCTTTTACAACTGGTTCACAAAAAAGGCCTTCAGCCCGGCTCATGTTAGCCAAGGAGAAAGACTGCTGAGTGAACAGCCCCCAGGCTGCCAGGTCAGCCTTATAATCAGCTTAGAGTCATTTTAGCAGCTCCATCTTTGAACACTCACGGGACCCTCAGGAAACCTGGAAAAAACTTCTTTAGTATCTAAATGCAATCCAGCAGTCATCTTGGCAAAGGATGTCCCGATCTAGCTCAAGAGCGAGGAATGCTCAGCTTATTTTAAGAGACTGTATATGGACAAGGATGCTCCTAGGCCAGCAGTATAACCTTGGGCACACAACATGCCCCAGGCCCCAGGCCTCCAGCCTGCAAAGTGAAGCCAAAGGGTAGCTGATTCTCCTGGGCTTCCCTGTCACTTCTGGTATATGCTCAGACAGTCACTTCATCTTGATTTTGTTCTTCTTTTGTTCCAAAGGCGATTAGTCACTTTTCAGCCCCCAGAGACTAATGCTCCAGTACTTCATAACGATTAACCTCCTGTATATGGAATCTGATCACTCCCAAAAATTTAAGAAATACTCCAACATGCTATAGAGTGGCAACATGCTTAGAAGTCACACCAACAATCATTATAGAACACCTGATACAAAATAGCAATTAAGTCAGCAACACACACACACACACACACACACACACACAAAAGTCAGCAACACTTTGTCAGTGAATACCATGTGGCATTTATACACTACCTTAAACTTCTACTCATGTCTAACATTGGGTCTTCCCAGTTCTGTGCCAAGGTGGGAGACGTAAAATGCCAGCTAAGATTCTGACATTTTTTTTTTCATTCATTCAGGCATTATCAACTATGTATAGGTATTTCGTGTCAATGCGTCCTGCTCATCTGGAGCTTACTGGTGTAATTTTGGTAATCTCGACCACAGATCTAAATAATCCAACCTTCCAAGTGACCTTGATTCTAATAGAGGTTTATTAATACCATCTCTTAATTGAATTTTATCACAGAGCAGCAGAAAAATCTCCTCTTAAATTATACCACACAAAAGAGCTGTTTTTTTTTGTTTGCTTTTTTTAAAGAAAAAAAAAAAAAAAGCCTGGATTTTGGGGTCTTTTGCTCAGAGCTAGCCAGGTCAGCAAGTGTTCAGACTCACACAAATGAGAACAGCAGAATTTGAGGTTTATTCAGGAGGTATCGAACTCTAGTCACTTTCAACAATGTAAATTCTCTGCAGTGAAAAATACTAAATTAACCAGACCTACATTCCCAGGTCACAGGAATGTCAGGTCACAACAACATGCATTGTATTAACATTTTTTATTTCTACCCTGCCGACAAGAGGTTGAACAGTTACATATGACATTTTAGGTCAGAAACAAAAGTTGTCTACTTAGCATAAAAAGTGGCTTTCTTCTATTTGACTTGAGGCTTTCCTCAACTTTTCTTGCATTACTTACGTCCACACCCTCGAAAGTCTTTGGAAGACTTCCATGATCAATACATACAGCTGGCTTTCCATCTCTCTCCTCCCATATGGGAAATGTCTGTGTTCTTGGTCTCACCTGGTTGGGGCTTCAGGCTTTGCGTCCTTCTTATCCTTCTCAGACTCTTCTGCATTTTACCTTCCGAAAAAGAGGTGAGGCTACATGGGTGTCTCTCCAGAGCCCTCCCTGCTCCCCACCCGGCCTTGGTGATCTTGCTCTTCTTGCCTTAAGGACATTTTTATTTACGAGAAATAGAGAAGAGGACACTCAGATGAGAACGGAGGTCACTTATGTACCTTCTCAGGAGGCCAAGCACCCCGATGCTCATGCATTGCTGGATACTGAATGAGGCTGGGGGGTGGGGAGTGGGGGCGGGACACAGAGCTGCTGTGAATCAGGAAAGACCCACTGAGATTAAGTGTGGCTATGGAGGAGGGGGAAAGCTGCCTCCCAGGGCCCTGCCGGGGAGTTTGAAGTTTGTTACAGGTAACCCCTCTCATTCTATCCCGGTGACACCACCTTCTCCTGCATCTACACTAATGCTCTGGCTGTGTGAGTGGATAATTCTGAGAGGCTGGGAAGAAGTGCTGACATATGGGGTGAGCACAAGTAGAGACAACAGTACATCTCCGATATACTTGTTTCCTCGGCTTTTCAACGTTTGTGTTATTTTTCTTCTAAGAAATCTTCCTTCCTTGCTAAAAAATGTTCAGCAGATGATTTCAATGCACATACATGCACACACACACTCAAAATCAAGCCTGAAAATATGACCTGAAGAATGTACGATGCATGGTCTTTCTTTTACAATACTTAGCAATGAAAAAAAAAATACTTAGCAATGATGCCTTGCATTCACATAGATTTTAATTTAAAAGAAGAAGAAGAAGAGGGACGCCTGGGTGGCTTAGCGGTTGGGCACCTGCCTTTGGCTCAGGTCATGATCCCAGGATCCCGGATCGAGTCCCTCTGCCTGTGTCTCGCCTCTCTCTCTCTCTCTCTCTCTCTGTGTGTGTGTCTCTCATGAATAAATAAATAAATCTTTAAACAAAATAAAAAATAAGATTAAAAAGAGAAGATTTTATTCAGATTCCCTAGTTATCTCCCTTGGGTCATTATACCCACTTTACTGATATGTCATTCAAGAAAAGGAGGTTATATGAGTTGCTCAAGATCACAAAACTAAGTAATAGTGTTCTTCAGACTGCAGTAAATGCAGTCTAGGCTTCCTGGGTCCTATATCTAGACTTTCTTACTCTGTGAAAGTACTCATGTAAAATTCAAGCCCTTTATTTTTTAGAAGGGTAACTCAAAGAATGCTACATTGGGAGGTTTCCAGAGTTTGAACTGACCAGGATGCTAGCAGAGACTGCTCAAATAGCTGTCTGAATGCTTAGATCAGCCTCAAATGAAAGTTATTCCCTTCCTGATATTCAATGCTTAAATAAACTGTAAGTTCAATAGCTTCTATTTATTCAGCTACATGAAACCACTACCATTTTTTTTTTAAATTAAAAGTTTGGTCAGGACCTTAACTAAACCCGCTCAGCTATGAGGCTGCCAAGAGTAGGGAAAAGAACACCAGGCTCGGTATGGGAGACCTGAGCCAGATCACCATAAACCCAGAAGCACTGCCTCCTGTGCATTAAGATGGTTTTTTTTCCTATTCCTTCTCGTCTCACTTTTCTGCTAAATATG